ATTTTAGAAGATTATTTTGTTTCTAATACAAAGGGTTTTAATGATATTTTTAAATAATTAAATAATTTTGCCCTTATTTTAAAAATGAAAAAGATATAAATTGTGTGCTTTACCTACTACCACCATAATATTAATTGTAACATTAGTAGGAGTAAAATTGAAAAATTATTATGATTTGATGTGATTTTAATTAAATAAAAAACTTTTATTGATATGCAAGATTCGGTTAAAAATATTATATATACAAAGAAAACACGTTAAACCTACTTCCTCCACCCTTATACATAAAGTATTTTTAATTAAATTATGCAAATTAATAAAATTTATTTATCCACTTAAAAGCATAGCAACATTCTAATTTTTCTCTTAATTATGGAAAATAAAAATTAAATCTCTTTTTTAAAATAAATTTATAAGTATTTATCTTTTCTCCTTTCTAATATAATAAAGATATCATGGTTTGTTTTTTTTTTTTTGAATGCTAATAATTTTTTATATTCAGGCATGAAAAAAAATTAAAAAATCTCACAAAGGAGGAAGGGAGTATATAACTACAGATACTAGTAGTCATGTTTTTCAACATAAAAAGATTTTTTTTAATAAAAGCACATGTTTTGGTTTATTACTGTTATGCGTATGATCATGCATTAATTATTGGGAGGGAAAAGGGATACTTAGATTTGATTATTCCTCGAAGTCTGATATGTTGTTGACTTAAAATGCACCCACCCCTTCTTCTCTCAATTTTTTTAATTTTATTTATATATTTTCTCAAACATGATGCGCCGTCTTCACTGCCCAACAAACTTTCTAATGGTTTTGGACACAGTGCCCTTTGATAATTTAATTCGATATTTAATTAATGACAGAAATTGTTGCATCACCCTCCCAACATATCATAAATGAGATGCCTTTTTAGTAAAAAGACAAAACTGACCTTCTTTCAAGGAAAATTATTTCTAAACCCCCGATTTTTATTAAGAAATTTTTTATTATCTTGAAAATTGCGTATATTATAATTTATTTATTTATAATTAATTAAAATTTTAATTTCTTAAAACATATTTTATCTGAAAATATGATAATGGTTAAAATTTAAAAATTATTTTAATATTGAAAGTGATTATAATAGTATTTTTAATATTTTTAAAATTAGGTCCTTAAATATAATTCTTCATTCTTTCAATTGATCAGCACGCACTGAAGAACATACAAACATGGGACATTAACTAAATACCCATATTTCATAGATTTTATTTGAAGAAATTTTAAGATACTAGCAATCACTTTAAAAACCAAACTTATCAAGTGTGGAGAAATTTATCACTCCTGTTAAGACATTTTTTAGAGGTTAAATATTAAAAAATGTAAAGTATTTTTAATTTTTAAGGTGTAATCATTGTCCTTTTTCTAAAAATATCACTATTGAATAAATTATTTTATATTTATTTTAGAATAAAATACCCTATTAAATAAGAATAAATATAGAAAGATATGGTTAGTTTAAAAATAAATAACTACTTCATTAGAGTTGAGATTTGATTAAAAATGCCTTATATTTTTTGACAGAGAAAGTATCATACTCTAATAAATGATCACTAATTATTTATAAAAATAATCTTAAATAACTTTGTCAATAACATTCAATAAATCTTGCAATAAAAATTTTAGAACCAAATAACGAATTTTATTCTTATAAATATATAATTACTCTTTTTTTAAAGAAAATAGTTTAAACTTAATAAAAGTTGAATGGTTAATTGTACTTTTTTCCCTACAAACATCCTTGTTAACCGGAAGAAATCATCTTACCTGCAGACCCAGCGATGAATCATGAAGATTTAGATTATCAATTAATATCCCAATGTCACCAATGGACAAAACAAAAGTTCACTCTCTCAAGAAAAGCCATATTGGAAACTTCCTTGGAATGTGTTACATGTCAATTGAATCCCAGAAAAACACACATATAAACCCAAAGAAGAAGCTGCCTGGCTAGCTAGCTAGGGAAGAGAGAAAATACTATTATTAATATATAGTATAGTACCGTAGGATTTTTTTTTTTGGCCAACATTAATATTAATATATAGTACTAATGTTTGATGATTTCAAAAGATTCGATCTGTTCAAGAAAGAGACCAAGATGTGTTTGATTTAATTTCTTCAGTCTTTCATGACAAGGGAAATGGAGTTCCCCATGAAATGAAGTGAATGTTTTGCTTGCTTCCATTAAACAACACGCTTAATTAATTGTGTTCATCAGCAACTACCAGGCCACCAAACTCTGCTCTCTGTCTCGTTGTTCCTTTTCTTCTTCTTTTTTCCTTGTTTTGACATTTGTTTGATATATTTATCTAAGATTTGATTCAAAATATAGAATAATATGTAATATTACATATTTTCTGACAATTAATACCTTTCTTCGTTTATTGTCAATTTGAGTCTATATATATGTGTGTGTGTTGGTTTTATAAGGTATCCCTGGCAGGCAGTTTTGTGAAATTAATCTTTTAATGAAATCTAAACATTATTTAAGAGCTTGTCCTTTTCCAAACGATCAATATGCTCCATATACACCTTCAGCAATTGAACTTTAAAATAATGTTTAAGAGAATTGGCTTGCTACTATACATGCCACAGTCACTTGGTAGCTAGTTTGAGTCTAGAATTTAAATGCATTATGTTATTATTATTTTTAATTTATTGCAAGATGAAATTCTTGTTAGTGATTTATTGTATCGAAGGGGAAAACTGTAAAGCTTGACATTTTTATGACAAGATTATTGATACAAATTAAAGTATCATTTTTTAAGAAGCATATATTAATTACCTTCACCTTCCAGTATTAAGGACCACATGGAGTATTGTTGAAAATATTCATGAATTATGAATTATCTCATGTAAAATTTCATATGCAATGTAGTAATATACAGAGAAAAATTACATGTCTAGTTATATTATATCTCAAAGCCTTGTATGCCACTGTACTATATGGCAATAACTAAGTATCTCAATGGCAATGTCCCCTTATCGTGAGGTCTAAGATTCAAACCTATGCATTCACATGTGTGTGTGACAGTTGTAAATATTAAATTAATTGACAATTACTTTTTTTTAAAAAAAAATACTATTTTATATCTCCATTGTCAGCGTTGTACAATTAACAATATTATTTTTCTTTGAGATATGTTATGTCAATATATCCTATATGCTTTTACAGTTATACTTCAATATATGTATGTATGTTGATGTATATAGATATAATAATTAGGGACCGCCATTATTTCTACGTTAATTTAAAATTAAGAGAAAATTACGGAGAGGGATCTAATAGGATAAACTATTAAAATTAAAATTTATTATAAAAGACCGTTAAAATTAAAATTAGGATGAAGGACCAAGGAAAATGTAATGAACAATTATAACCTTAATATAAAATTTGTTAGCCTTAAAATTAACATGGTAGTATTGCCCAATTTACAAGTACTCTTTTAAAAATAAGAATGCGTAGCTTTTCAATTTCACACCCGAAAATACAAAAAGTATAAAATTTAATTAAAACAATATATTTACTTAAAAATTATTACTTTTAAATAATTGAATCAAGATATCTTTTAATATTTACTTTTAAAAATTAAATCAATATAATTTTAAAAAATATTTACTTTTAAAAAATTATTTAATTTTACCAAGAATGCACTGTTTTAATTTCTGGACTTGTAGATTTCTAAAAGTGATGAGGGCAATATAATTTTTTTAAATTTATATTTTGATATTTGGTCAATCCAAATAATAACTATTTTTAAGGTTCTTTCCAATCAATATTTCTTTCTCCAGGTCTTTCGTTATAATTTTTCCTAAAATTAAAGTCGGAAATAAAAGCCTTACAATGTGACGCAAGTTGGCTTGGAAAGCTACTTCCATAAATAACATAACCGCCAAAAGCCCAAAACAATGGACGCCGCCCTGTGAATTAATTAATTATTACGGGTCAAATTGATATGCCTTGGCAAATGGCAATAAATATCTTCAGATATTATGTCTAGAAACGATAATTTCGGATAAGGGAATTGATTTTTTCCTCCAATCAGAGTGAGTAACTCGATTGAGAAAAAATCAATGATATGTTGTATGGATTTGCCTTAATCCTTTACATATATCCCCTTTCAATTTATAAAATATTTTTAAATAAAATTATATATATTAATAAAGCTCATTAAATATAATTTTTTAAAAAAATTATTTAATATTTCATTTGTAAAATAATATTAAAAAATATAAAAAATAATAATATTAAAAAAATATAATTAATAAAATTTTATTATTATTATTATTAAAATATTTTATTCCCTCTATTAAAAAATGTAAGACATTTTTAACTGAATTTCATTCCTCAATAAAGTAGTTATTTACTTTCAAACTAATCCTATCTTTTCATATTTACCTTTACTAAACACCCTCTAATAAATATAAAGTCATTATCAATAGAGGCATTTTTGAAAAAAGATAATGACTACACTTCGAAAGATTAAAAATATATTATATTTTTTAACATCCAACTCCTTAAAAAATGTCTTATATTTTTGAGCAGAAGGAGTATATTTTCAGATATTGAAACTTTTTTAAAAATATTTTTTAAATTAAGACCAAAGGAGTATGAAGGTACTGTTGTGTGTGTGTCAAAAGTGTGTGTGTCAAAGTGTAACATCCTAAAAATTTTAAGACTCAAATTTATTTAAAAAATAAATAAAAATAAAATAAAATATCTATAATTAAATTAAAATTTAGAATAATTTAATAGAGGCCCAGAGTTTGAATTTTACTAAGCAAAAGTTTGGTTTTATTTGATTTTTAACTATGGAAAAAATTACCAAAGTTGACCCGAGCTTTTGTGCAATAATAAAAAATGTTGGGCCCTTTCTTGTAATTTTCTCCAAACTTTTTGACCAGCATTTTAAAGAGCAAACAGATGCAGAAAACGCAGAAAATGAACAAGGGAAGGAAACGCACAAACGGGAGAGTGAGAGAGAGAGAGAGAGGAAGAAGAAAGGAGAAAGAGAGGGAGTTAGGCTCGGATCTAGGAGTTTTTGCGACCGTTGCGAGCTCGGCTACACGATAGGTAAACTCCCTACTTCAATCCTCTTCTCTTTCTCTTGATTTTCTTCACTTTGTGGAAGAGAAAATTTTTGGATTTTGATCCCAAAGGCTTTATTCTTGTAAGCTTTTGTTTCTTTGGATCCTAGGGAGCATGTTTTGAGTTTCTATATAGTGATATAATATTTTGAGTGGATAATTGGATGAAAAGAGGTGTTTTGGGCACAAAATAAACCTTGAGAAATTGGGTTTTTGCTCCTCAATGGTTTAAGCCTATTGATTTAGTTATAATTTTGCTATTTGAGCCCAATAAAATTTAAATTAAGGTTTGGTTTTCATTATAAGGGCTAATGGTGAAAGTTGGTGGCACTAAGTAAAGGTTTTTAATTGATTAAAAAATTATATAAATTGAAAATTAGCCTAGTGATGGCTAATAAATGTTTTTGGTGGTTAAGTGATACTATGTGAATGGTTGGTTTAATATATGGACCATTAGGGTAGATTATGACTCATTGACCTAAGTTGTGTGGTATAAGTTATAGTCTTCATTAATGCTATTTGTCATGATAAGTGATGTGGATCACTTATATGTTGTAGAAAATTGTTGGTGGAACTTATTGAGAAGTAAGGAACAAGCCGAGCCCTATTTTGTACAAGAGGAACCCTTTTAGTACCAAAGGGTTGAGGTAACAGGGGAATTTATATTTCTTATTACTTTGTTTTAGCTATTTTTGAATAAATATTACTAGTTATCATGCATTACATGTTTTAAAAGATTAAATGTGCTTTATAAGGGGTTATGGGGTACTACTTTGATTATAGTGCAAATATGTTTTCTAATTGTTTAATAACAATGTTTTTATGGAAATGAGATTTATAAATATTATACTACTTTAGAGTGTTGAATGGTCAATACTCAGGAAAGGTAGACAAAAGTAAAAGGCATGATCTCGGTGGGAGTTCACCAATGAGAAGGTGTGGATTTTTGATATTCTATGGCACACTGTCAGTACTCAGTGTTGTCTAACGTATTGTGGGCTCAGTGCACTAAAGTGGTTAGTGTATTGAGTGTTCGACACCTCTCAGTGGGGGAGGGAATCCGACATATGAAGTGTGAGGTTGAGTGCCTAGGCCAAGGTAGCCCTCACATGGAGAGTAAGTCGGGCTGGCTCTGGGAGGGAGTTAGCTTTGACTGCTCAGGATTCACGTTGAAGGGGCATAGGCGGTTCGGTGGATTAGATCATGCCTTAGATTATGTTTTGTGCCTGTGGAGGTACAAGTAGGTATAAGGTTTACCTGCGAGTTAAAGAGTGCCAGGGGGCATTCTGTTAGTCATGAAAGGCCATACCGGCCTAGGTCATGCATTCATGCATTTTAAATGGCTAAATTATATACTATGTTGAATTTATTATTCATTTATTTAATTATGGCTTACTTTGTAATAATCAATGTAGATTTCACTGTTACTGAGACTGTGGTTGTCTCACCCCTTTCTTTTCAATATTTTAGGTCCAGGCGAAGGATCCAGTGGTGGACGGAGAAAGGAGCAAAGCTAGGGGTTTGCTTGTGATTTGTAAAGAACTGCAACCCCTTTTTTTTGAGAAAATATATTGTAATGTATTTAAGATTAGGGTGCCAGTAGGATATGATTGTGTGAGTGTGTGTGAATATGTGTGGATTGTGTGCTTGTGTATGAATTTTTGTCTGTTTGCAGACTTGTGGTTAAGAAACTTGGTTATGATGTGTGATTTTGATGGATTTACTTAGTAGACCAAGTTTCTATTACAAGCAGATCTTTATTTTGATATATATGTGATTTTATAAGCAAATGCAAAGTGATTGCATTGCAAATGGTGTGCTATGGGCAAACATACAGCTTGGATAGAGAGAGTGGGTGCGTGGGCCCCACAAGGAGCTCTGAGCCAAGTGAAAATGTTTAGCATATGTATTTATATAAATACATGGTATTTGGATTGATTTGTGACCACTCTTGTATGATTTGTGCATTTTGGGGGTTTAGGGTCCATTTTGGGAAATGGCACCCGGGTGGTCAAATTTTGATGTATGGGGGTTTTCTCATTTGAATGTTCTATCAAGTGTTTTTAATCTTATTTGACGTGTCCAAAGTGTTTCCACAGGTTTGTGACCATTAGGATGAGATTTGAACAATTTTGAAAATGGTTTTTACCAAAAAGCTGCACTTTTGCATCCGGGTGTCCAAATCTTAATCCGACCGTTGGATTTCTCTAAAATTTGGGTCACAAGTAAAACCTTTTATAAGCTTCGTGTGGGCTTTAGAGTCACATCGATTGGATATCGGACGGAGAAACGACGCACTCCGGAATTTGGTCTGGAAGTGCTGTCATGACAGCATTAAATTGCTGTCATGACAGCTACAGTATTGATTTTATAACCTGTACAAAATTCAATCCGTCTGTTGGATCTTTTCAAAATTTAGTATGCTAATAGTATTCTTTAAAAGTGACATGTGGGCTTTGGAATCACTTCGATCGGAGGTCAGATGATGAAATGGTGCACTCCGGAAGTTGGTCCGGAAGTGCTGTCATGACAGCTTTTTGACAGCAAAAATAATCAAATTTTTAACATGTCTAATTTTAAATCCGACCGTTGGATCTTTTTGAAATTTGGTATACTTATAGTACCCTTTGAATGTGACGTGTGAGCTTTAAAATCACTTTGATCGGAGGTCGGATGGCGGAACGACGCCTCCCAGAAGTTGACTCGGGAGGGTTGTCATGACAGCAATTTAAATGCTGTCATGACAGTATCTTTTTATTTCTCTTTCGTCTAACTTGTTTCCGTGCGCTATAGTTAGAACCTAAAATTTTTTTAAGGTTTTAAATGTTTACTTTGCAATCGTATATTTGCTTAGTGATTTAAATGGTTTGTTTCCTAAGTTGGTTTTAGGATTAACTCCTTAACCACACTTAGTTTATTTGAATTGTGTGATTTTTGGATAACACTCAGAGCAAGTGTTACACAAAGTTTCACATTAATTAAATAAAGGACTCTCCTAGTGTATAAATACTTGAAAATGAAGTGAGCTAGTAAAATGGGCTTGGAGGAGAAGTAGACTCACGCATATGAGACAGGCCAACACAGGGCAATCGCAATTGAAATCAGCCGATTCGCCCCCCCTCCGCGCGAGTTCAAGAGGTAATGGGTTCTTTTTACCTAATTATTTTTACAAAATAAATAATTAATTAATTATTTTTGCTTACTGAAAAATCTCAAGTTTTGGCTGTCTAGAATTTAAATTCAAACCATGAATGTTTTTTTTGTCATTAACCAAATTAATTTTCTTAATGTGTTTGTCTCCCCAACGTTTTCAAACAAAAATTTAACTGTGATTTACGTCTGCGTAACTCTCCAAACAAGCGTTTAAACGTGATTTATGAGAGCATAACCGAAGCTTTAATCTGTTGATTATGGGCCAACGTTTATGTCTCCATCTTCGGGCTATATATAAATATGGGTGCAGACAGAGCAAGTCGCCAGTTTCTTGAGTTTTCAGGACAATTCTCTCCTTCCTCTCTTTGTTGTTCATCTTATTGTGTTTTAATTTCTGCTATTCTATTTTCTTATTCTGCAAGAAGTGCTTGTTTAATCTTAAAAAACTGCCGGTCTGTTGTTCCGGTGTGTCAAAATAGTTTTTAAGGACAGTGTCCTTTCAAGCACGACTTAAGTAGTTTGTAGTTTGCCGTTTACGTCTTTCACTGGTGCCGCCAACAGGTACATAGTGCATTTGACGCAAAAGCAAGACAAGTTGTCATGGCCACCACAATGCTTGCTGCTCCTGTAAGTGTGAGTTACAAAATTCGAGCCCTGCATGTTGGCTGTTGGCATGCGGGTACATAAACTGTAAATATTAAATTAATTGTTTTTTTTTTTAATAAGAATAGAGAGGATTCATTGACATTTGAATTTTAGATAGGATCCTGGTGTAAGGTAACATTAATTTTATGTCCTCTCTTTATTTATGTATATATATGTAGTATAATTTTATAAAAATATTAATATTAACTATTAAGACTTCAGATTAAAATATTAAGCTACATATTTTTTATTCATATAATATAAAACTCAGATTATTTAAAAAACCTTTTTTTTTTTTTGCATACTTCGGAATAGATGGTGCGTGTGCGGACTGCGGGATAAAAAAACATCTTCTTTGTTTGTCGTAAAAATATCTAAATCTTCAAGTACAAGGCAGAAAAAAAAAATCATAAAATTATCGTACGAATCAAAACACAGGATTTTTATGATTTTTTTCTGCCTTGTACTTGAAGATTTAGATTTTTCAAAAAAAAAAGTCCTCAGGGCTAAGGGGCATACGATTAATCTGTAAGGAACCGTCTTTAATATTGATTGCATTCAAATATGATCGGAATGGTAATATAATCTCATTAATTATCGTACGAATCAAAACACACAATTTCATTAATTTCTATAATATTTGTAATTAAGCAAATAACCCCGGATGAATTTTTACCACTTCTTATTACTAATAAATTCAAGTGTACGTACCTCCAGAACCTCCTTTAATTTCTTGGACCGTTGGACATATGAATCTTCATTATTCAAGGAGGATAACCCATATTATAATATTCTTTTTATCTCAAATTATAAAATACTTTTAAATAAAATTTTACATATTAATAAATCTCATTAAATACATTTAACATCTTTATCTTTTTAAAATAAAAATAAAAATTTTAAAAATACCCATCATTTAATATAGTGAAAAGAGAAAGGATGGAAATTAACTATAAAGAAAGAAAGAATAATATTAAAATAAGTTTATTTGGTAAAACTTTAATCTTTTTAAAATGTTTTATATTTTAAAATACTGAATGTCTTTTAAAAGTATTATATAATTTAAAACAGAAGGAATATAATATATGGACTGAGAAGAACGTATGAACCATTGCAAGAGACAAGCAGCGAGATGGTAGCAAGTAATTGACCTTCCTGTAATTAAGTACAGTACTCCATGCGGACTAGTAACGTAAGAAATTAATGAATGATCTGCGGTTGGCATTAATTAGCTTTGAACAGGGGCGACAACGAGCTGCAACAGTATTCAGTATGAGTAGCAACTCGTACACGCAGTGAACATCAATTAACGTCCAACTCTGATCCATCCTTTTCTTCAAATAAATTATATAGCAGTACTCAACTTGAAGGTTGGGTCAGTGCTTGCTCTTGCTGCTTCGTCACTTTGATGTTTGTTTTCTCACACACGTATATACATTTATATGCGTGTTGTGGATGAACTCGTGTGTGAATAGTAATTTGTATCTCTTAGCTAAGCTACATGTTTGTTGGTCACTCTAATTTTTCAAGGCTAAGCTTGGAATATGTCATTCATTAAACTTCACATGAAATCCATAAATTCTAACGTAAAAAAGTGAAGCAAATCGAGCTAGAAAGGCTCTGATAACTACTCAAGAAAAAAGTGAAGCATGGCATGTTTGTTATTCTGAATATATTAATGTTCTTAGATCCATCGACTTCATGCTTCGTGTCATATATATATATATATATAATTAGTTAGATGTTGAATGTCAATATGTACATTAGAAATTAGAAATTAAGTAGAGGTGATTAAATTCTTAATTTTATCAAAAAATAAAATAATATTTTAATTTTATCCCTATTTAAATTAAAAATTAATATTTAAATTTATATTATATTCTCTCTCACATATAGTTAATAAATTTAAGTAGAGATGATAATGAAAAACGTAATTAATATCCTCTCATGTGTCTTATATCAATGAACAAAAAATCTTTTTAGAAGGCAAGGAGTTAAGGTCTTAAGGACCAAATAGAGTATGCTTTTCTCTTTTAAAACTATCAAAAACATTACTACTTTTAATTTTATTTATAAATTACTTCTAAATATTTCATCAGAATTATGAAAAACATTAAATTATTTGTAATTTAATAATTTTTTAACTTTATTCCTATTAAAAATGTGCATATTTTATTACTTTACAAACGGAGGGTAGGTATAGCGAAAGAGTCTAATCCTTCATAATATAACGAATTAAAGTTTGAATACTCATCAAATAGAATTTTCTTCATTAAGTGAATACATGTGAATAATAAAAATATCTATATACTTTAATAATTAATATACTTTCTCACACTATCATCAAGCTTGGCTTGGATTGAAGGAAAAGTGGGAAGAAATTAGGGAGGGAAGAAAAATAGGAGGAGAATTTCAAAAAATAATACGTTTATTTTTACTACTTTTAGGAGTTTCTCTCTCTCTCTCTCTCTCTCTCTCTATTTTTCTCATCATATATCCAAATGAAGGGTAAATGAGGCTACAATGTGAAATTTGTAATTAAAATTTAATGATATGAGTAATAAATAAAACTCAAAAAAATCATTCTATTGCAAGGAATATGTTATTTGCTCAGTTTTCCATTCACTCTTTTGAACTCCGCTTAATTTTCATGAGCAAAAGTTGCATTAGTCTTCGCCTTTTCATTCATTAACTGATAATTTAAACTTCAAAAGAATTTAAGTATCAATTAACTATCAATAATTATATACTCAATTTATATATTCTTTGAATTACGCTAATTGATTTGAGTTGACTCATTATAAGTCACCCAACCATTTAACAGCATCTATTTAATAAATAAAATTACAATCACAATTTAAAAGAAATGAAATAATTCATTCTTTACATATCAACAGAGATTGAATCCTTAATTTTTATGTATATTATAAATCATCCTTGTTATTTGAATTTTGAAATTTTTGGAAAAATTGGTGAGAATGACCTAGTTAAAAGCAAAATTGGTCCTAAGGATCAAATATACTTGAAAAACCAAGGCTAATATTTTATTCATTAAATAATTTGAATAAATGACCAAAATGCCCCTCTGTGTTAATTTTTTTTTTCAAAAAGACATAAAATCTAGTTGTCAGAGCTCTAGGCCCTCCTCCAATAGGTGACAGTGTGCCTCCCGAAGCTTCAAGCTGTAGGTAAAGGGTCGCCAGAAAGTGTCACTAGAAAAAATCAATGCCCCTTGATTAAATGTAATCATTAAGGATTACATGTAAACTCAACAATTAGAGGGTGTAAGGGTTCTAGCTCAAGTGTTATGGCTAGGCTTTTGGCTTAAGATGTAAGGGTTATGACTTAAGATGCAAGCAATTTGGCTTGAATGTAAGGTTTTTGGCTTAAGGTGTAAGGGTTATGGCTTAGGTGCAAAAGAGATGTTTAGGGTTTAAAGCTTCTAGCTTAGGATGCACGCATTATATCTCAGGGTGTAACGCTTTTAACTTAAGGTGCAAGGGTTATGGCTTGTGTTATAGCAACAAGATTTACATGAAATCCATAGTCATTTTCATGTAATTTTTTGGGCGTTGACAGGGCCATGCTCTATGTGTGATTGATTTATATGTAATCTCTACATGTAATCTACTAGAGATTACATGTAAATTATTCTTTAGACATGTTCGCAAATTTTTTTTCATATCGATTTACATGTAATCAATGATGGTTTGCATGTAAATTTGAGGCATTAATAGGGGTGTCCTTTCTGTGTGATTGATTAACATGTAGATCTACTAGAGATTACATGTAAATTATTACTTAGATATGCTTGCGATTTTTTTCCCTTATTGTTTTACATGTAATTAATTGTCATTTTCATGTAATTATAGGGGCACTGACAGTAGAGGCTTTCTCCGTATTTAATTTACATATAATTCACAAGATATTATATGTAATTGTCACACTGACAGGTGAGGATTTAACAACTTTATATGAAAGAAAATGGAATTTTCAATGGAAAAAAGTAAATGTCAAAGGGACTATAAACAATAAAAATATGAAAGAAACAACAATAATTTCATTAGTTTAGATATGTTACTGTGCCAAGTATAAGCCAAATGATAAACAAAAACCATAAGGCACCCCAAATTAAAAAATATGTTATGGGGATAAGAACAACATCATGTCAATGTTAAACAACATCCTACCCTATATAAAAAATAAATAAGAAAATATTCACAATAAATTCTCTCTTTTTAAGTATTATACATTGTATAGCAAACTATGTTAACATATAAAAGATGAGAATTCAACAATGTAACATAGAGGACAATTGAATTATCCCGAAAAAATAAATAAATTTAAGAAGTGCGAATGAACAACAATAATTTTAATAAAAATTTAATCCTATTAAGTTTTTTTTATCTTTCTATCAAGTACAATCAAATCAAAAATTATAAACAAAGACCATAGGGCACCTCATTTTAAAAAATATACCATGGGAGTTAAGAATAATATCATACCCAAGTTAAACTACATGCTATCCTATACAAAAAAGGGGTGGTCATAAGTACACTTGAAAATACAATCACAATTTTATTCAATCTTTTAGGAGAATCCCTTAATCAGCATTTCCTTATAGTTCACTTGAGTTATGATATGTATGAGTTGAATTTGCAAGAGCTTCTTGACTTGAACTTTTTTTTTTATATTCATACAAAACCTTATGCTTTAATGTGTTAAAACATTATGCCTGATGTCGCACTCGAAAAATGCAATGCAGATGGCGCGCATGCGGAGGTTTCGGCCTTCGGGGCGGGAACCGACTGGAATAGGAGTTGCTACCAAAATTTTAAGGAAAATCTTGAGAAACCAGTTAAAGAAGGATAATGATGGTTTGTGAAATCAAAAAATAGGTTTGGGAGTCGATTGAGTGTGGGGAAGGTGTTAGGCACCCCACAATACTCGTTTATGAGAACGGTTATCTAAAGTTTATTGTGCTCTATTAATATAGTTTTATAATTATTTTAATTATTCTTTTATATTCATGTGTTTAAAAAATGATAAGAACTAAATGAAAAATATTTATTTATTTAAAA